CGGCCTGAGGTGAAGATCGCTGGCGATGGCCTGTGCCTGTGAGGAGGAGGGAAGCTGATTGTGATATCTTCGTTCCTGGGGAGGCTCAAGCCTCCACTGGGAACCTCTTGATTTATTGGGCTGCCGCGTTTGTCCCGGCAGCCAAAATGGCAGCCAGAGCGATTCTGTGCAATTGAAGAAGATGGAAGTGCCCTTTCGGCTGCCAGCAATTCGGCGCAAAAAAAGGAGCTTCTGCCCTATCAGCGGGAAATTTGAAGAGGAAGAGGCAGAAGTGCCTTCTGTTGTCTTAGCGTGCCCCGGTGTCCAAAATGGCAACCGGGGCGAACTGGTGTGGCACCGAGGCGGCCGCTCGGCTCGGGGATGCCGCGAAGAGGAAGACCGGCCAGCAAGGATCACAGCGATTAGAGAGAGAGGCAAGAAAAATCAATTCCCAGGTGCAGCAGCCGCCGATCTGATGTGGTGAGGAAACCAGCCAGTTCCTTGATTCAGGGACAACAGAGACTGAATCTCCACCCTCCTGGAACCCAGCCGACTCTCCTCGGTTCAGAAATGAACGGAAACAGAGTCTCCACCCCCCTGGAGTCCAGCCAGCTCCTCAGTTCGATGGGAGAATGAAGGTGGAATCCCCCCCCCAGGAGGTTCGGATAAGCTCCGGCTGCAGCGCTGGTCCCAGCGCTGAACAGCTGAAGAGGGATTTCCCTTAGGAGGGAGCTGAAGCCTCAGCAATAACCCCAGATCCAGGAGAGGGAAAGACCCACCTCCCCAAGCCTTCCACAGACTATTTCAAACAGCGCTGATCCCAGTGCTGTTGAAATACAGTAACTATGTTGTGAGATAAGTAAAATCCACCAATATTTTAGTCTCTATTACCTGCCTTAGACCAGGAGCCAAACTTGTCACATCCGTCTGGGCTGAAGACCAAGTCAAGACTGGGAGTGGCCTATCCCAAGACAGGCGTGGCAAGTTTGGCTGACTTGGTCTAATGGGCAGGAAGGCAGAGCTAACTCATTGGTGGATTCTCCATCTCCGGTGCTGGAGAAACTATAGAGATGAGAGTAAATTTTAGGAGGAGCTCTTCTATTTTAACATATTTGACAGCATAGTATTAACACCAGAGTTCTTAAATTCTGGGGTTCTATAATCTCCCAGGACCTGAAATGGACGCTTAACATTAGAACCATTATTAAAAAGGCACAACAAAGAATGTTCTTCCTGTGTCAACTCAGGAGGTTCAGACTGCCCCAGGAGCTGTTGATACAGCTTTCCAGAGGAATTATTGAGTCTGTCATTTGTACTTCTAAAACTGTTTGGTTTGGTGTAGAAACAAAATAGAACAAGTACAGACTCCAATGGATAGTTAAGACTGCAACCAGCCTGCCTCCCATAGAAGATCTGCATATTGCGCAGAAGGAAGGTTGAGAAGATATCTGCAGACTCCTCACATCATGGACATAAACTGTTTCAACTCCTCCCATTGGGCATTACAGGCCAAAACAACTAGACACAGGGACATTTTTTCTCCTTAGACCACTACTCTGTTGAATATCTAATTCTCAAGTGCTGTCTAATGTCTATGTATATTTACCCATGTAGTATGGCTGTAACATTATTATTTATCCTTCTTATTATCTTCTTTACTTTCCCCTCCTATTGGTATGATGATGATGATGATGATGATGATCATTATTCTGTTGCTTTGCATATACACTGAGATCTTCTGCACCAGAGACAAATTCCTTATGTGTCTAATTGCACTTGGCCAAATAAAGTATTCTATTTTTATTTTGCCTGTTTTAAATGTATCAATTACATACAAGAAAGAAATGTAAATTGTGTACTACCCTTCTCCAGATTCCTAGATAATTTAATTAAATAAGGCTATATGTATTTTATTTCTATATATGAGCCCAACATAAAAAAACTGCAGAAGTTCTCAAACTTTGTGATATTATGATTTTCTGAAATGACAAATAAATTATATCATCCCCATAAATAAAATCAATAATTGCATTGAAGTCAGGATCAGGCAAGAAATTAGTATACCACTTTTCAATTGAAATCTGAAATCAAATTTAAAACCATAATTTAATAGAAAGGATGATCTTGTTTATTTTTGCATAATTTCTGAAATATGGAGACTATACGAAAGAGTACCTAAAGCTGTATGTTTCAATAAACTCCTAAGTGCCAAAAGATGACACAACCTCCTTGATTTATGACCACAATTGAGCCCAACATTTCTGTTGCTAAGCAAGATAGTTGTTAAGTGTGTTTTGCCCCATTTTATGATCTTTCTTGTCACAGTTGTTAAGTGAATTATTGAGTTGTTAAATTAGTAACATGGTTGTTAAGTGAAACACATTGACTTTACTTGTCAGATGGTCCCAAAAAGGCAATCACATGACCCTGCAACCATAATAAATATGAGCCAGTTGCCAAGTGTCCAAATTTTGATCATGTGACCGTGAGTGTAAAAAATGGTTATAAGTCACCTTTTTTCAGTGCCATTGTAACTTTGAATGGTCACTAAATTTATGGTTGTATGTTCAGAGCTACCTGTATATGGAATGAAGTTAAACACTACATTTTTCTGCAAATTGGAACAGGAGCTTGTGTGCAGTTGTTTACAGATTCAAAATAAGAAAACTGAATATAGTAGATGCAGAAGTTTGAGTACCCTTCCAACTGATCCAGTCTTATTTACCCCTGTAAAGTTGTCAATAAAGTCCATAAAAGTTATTGTCTCATTAGATCTACAATTAGACAGGAGAAGACAATTTCACAAATTAATGAGCATGTGACCCTTTCAACCTTTAAGGTTATCACTATTGTTCTATCTACTTTTAACAACAACCATAGGGCCCTTCAAAGGCCGAGCAGTAAAGACAGAGATAAATCAGTCTTACAAACTAGACAGCTTTAAAAACAATATCTAAATACTTCCTGCTAACAATTTCAACTATGAGAAATTGAAATTACTGAAGAAACTAAAGGGAATTTCAGACAACCGGAGGTTACTGCAGGAAATCCAGAACATCAAGAGAAATTTCTACCAGAAATCAGTTCCCAAACTGATAAACAGAACCTGCAGATCACTGCAAATGACTTTGCTGAATAGTTTAACTGAAGTAATTGTCCAAAAGTCCACATTACAACAGTCTTATGCAACGTGATCCACATAATAGAAAGAAAACTATTCTCTGACCTCATCCTCAAAATCATCATATAAAACATACAAAAGAAAACCTTGTTAAGCCTGAATTGTTTAGACTGAAGTGGTTTGGGCAGAGAAACAAAAACTATTCAACTATAACACAATTTTTTTTAAATAAACGAATATCTTATTACAGTACATGTAGATGTTAATATTTTCAGGTTGTGTGGCAGCTAGTAGCATAGGTTGTGTGGGTAGACTGAATACAACTAAAATCAACCATCTCAGAAGCTAATGTCCATGTGCAAAAAGGTTGGAAATGTCATTATGTCAATGATTCAAAATATACATTCAAACTGTAAAGCACTTACAGAAAAGAAAAATAAAGGTTTTGTGATAGTCTTCATAGTTACTGGACTTAAATATTGTTAAAAATCTTTGCAGAAATCTCATACATGCAGTATTTGTAAGGAGATCTAAAAATATTTTTGAGCTACAAGAGTTCTATGAGAAAGAATGGGCAAAAATTTCAAACCGGAGGAGGGAGCTATAAGAAACTTTTAGAAGCCATTACTTTTGCCAACAAGTGTAAAGGAGTCGACTGAAAGGATATCTAAATTCACATTCACTTTTTTTTATTTTGTTATCTGTAGCTGCACATAAATAGTAAGCATGTGTTCAACTTTGCAGAAATAAATCATATTTATCTTTGCATGATGAAGAGACTGAATGCAAATCTGTTCATTTTGTGATTAATTGAAACATACAACTTAAACAAACTAACTTTTGCATATATTGTACCATTTTCAAAACAGCCGCCACATTTATTTCTGATCAACATTTGTTCTTTATAAGCAGCAGCTATAAAAAATCCTTACACACACAAATTAATTGTTGAAGACGGATTCAGTATGCTGATAAATCCCTTTCTTGTTTTGTTGTATGTGTTCATTCTGTTCATTGTTCCAAAATTCAGGAGAGATATTGTCAGGAATTTTATTTCAAAGTAGTATCAGAAGACCCATGAATGAATTGCTCATTTTCAGTAGTAGCAAATGCACAAGCTAAGCACTGAATGGACTCACTAACTTCATTAACACATATACAGACTAGAGCTTTACTACATGCCACATTGCTAGAAATGCTGGAGGCCAAAGAATATTTTCAGGAGAAATCAAATCCAGTTATCTGTTATTGATATTAATCTTAAATAGAAATTCTAGAAGCACACACCACCCTCATTTTATCATTCCCCCACTTACCAGTACTCTCATTATATGGGCTCCTATCTCTGTCAGGACTTACTGAGAAATGGTAAGGTTTCAACTCATTTGCTTATGATTTTAGCAAAGGCCCAATTTGCTTCTTCCATTATTCTTCCAGCGAATAACTCACATCTTAAAGAGTTTTATCCCCAAAGTTTCTACAAAAGCACATGAGCTGATTTTTTTTAATAAATTGATATTAAGTTGCTATGGAGGTACAAAGCTTATAGAAATGAAGTCCCACCATATTTTTTATTGTCTAGCAAGTTCTTAATATAAATATAAAAGTATTAAAGAACTTGCTTAAAGCTTCAGTGACTTATTCTGGGTCTTGGAATCACAACTTCTACATCCCAGCAATTCTATATTCTATCGATTGAGAACCTTTATTTTAGATCACCATTTAATAATAGGGCACAGGAATTGCAGTAGTCTATTCTGCAGTCATTGGCAGAATCCATGCTCCTGAATCCAGAAAACAGTATTTCAATTAGGTGGAATCCAGTGCAGTGACTGAGTGCCAGTTATATGCCCTACTTTCTTTCTTTCTTTTTTTTGACATAATGGATCTTAGGACCTACCTGGAGAACCAACAAGGATTTGTATCAAGTCATCATAAAGGATAAGTGTTGCAGGACGCTCTGGAAGCAGATAGAGACTTACAGAAGCATAGACTGCAAGGGAAAAAAACCTGAATTAATATAAAACTCCTTTTTCATTTAAAGGAGATAGAGGCTAATTCTAACATACAACCTATCTTTTGAGACATAGTACAAATAAGAGATTTCAACTGGAGGCAGATGGCAAAAAGAAAATCTGATCAAAAATATGGGGGAATGTACATGTTTTTCTAGATTGTGGTTTTAATCTTTTGCAGAGGTTCAACTGAATTCTCACTATTCAAACAATGGACTGAACATCCACATTTACAAAATATAATTTGTGGCTTCAAGTTGCTAACTGCCTTTCATTTTCTTTGGCTACTATCCTTAGGAGCAATAATTTCCAAATAAGGGACATTCAGAGAGGAAAGGAAAGTCAATGATGCCAAAAGGTAGAAACAAAATGATACCCCCCCCTTTAAAGTGCACTGTACATATATAAATAGTGGCACAGCTTCCATTGCTGTGTCATTCTGACACTGTTGTCAAGCAATATAGCTGCCCTGTTCTAAATGCAAAGCACAATTTATTGGTTCAAATATCACAGTAAATATTAGTTAGTTTTATTTCCAATGAAATCAGGACAAAATACCAGCAACTAGTAACAACCAGTTCTAATCATTCCCAGTTTCGGTTTGCTATCTACATCATGTTACTAATTCAAACATATTTAAACAAGACAGCTTTTTAAATCAAGGTTTGATTTCAAAGCTAACTGAAGCATTATGTTTATCCATCTCTTTTATTAGTATTTATCAGAATAGGAAAGTTTGGCTTTTTTGCCTTAAATAAATTTTCTCAGTCTAATAAATTATTTACATATCTAATAATTGAAAATTATTTACTGATCCAGTAATCCGATGGTAAAGGGAAAGCTTAATGGAAATTCAGTGAAAGAGTAGGAATATTCATTAAATCTACAATAGATTCTGAATATTTTATTTAAATAGAGCAATTCTATAATGAGTCAGCCTGGATTTTAATCAAAATTTGCAAATGCACTTTAAAAATCTGATTCAGACAATTTCCTTACAGATTTTTTTCTGGTATCACTCTGCCACTATGAGTGGCTTAAAACCTATTCTCATTAGTATTACATGACCACAATGATGGTTGGATGACTCTATAACATGCTAAAAATCACAAGCAGAATGAAATAAATTTGGCTGAACTTAACTTTAATCTCAATGCAGATATACTATCCATGAATAGAGCTGAAGCAAAGAAGAAAAAATGAAACTTGAATTAGGAAAAGAGCAGGGAAGATTTGATTTAAATCAAGTCGATTTAAACACAATTTAAATCACGATTTAAATCTCTAGTAAAAAGGCTTGATTTAAATCAATTCGATTTAAATCATAATTTTTAAAGAGCAACTGTCATCTCTGACACACTGTTGACTCACTGACAGTCCCATTCACTTTAATGGGATGGCTGGTGATGCGGCAGTGACACAACAAGGTGAGGGACATGGCGAGCAGCAGGTGAGTGGATGCCCACTAACAGGAGCTGTCATGATGGATCTGAAATGACAGGTGCTCTTTAAATGTAAGGACTCATTCTTGCTGGTAGTTAGAATCTTTAATATTATTTGCAAACAAAATGAAGGTTTCCTATTTAGAATAATAAGCTGTCAGGTTAGTAAAACAGCGATATCAGAAGCGATTTTAGGTTAATAAACCCATAGTTGGAGAACTACTCAAATTATTTTATTTAATTAAAACACTTAGGGCCTGGTTATAGATGCATTTCACTTCAAACAATCATACAGTTTGCAGTGTACATAGATTTGCAAAACAATGGGATAAAGGAATATTCCTGAACTTTGTTTTATGATTTATCTCATGGTTGCTATGAAATTGTGTGAATGCATCAATGCAGTGCATGTTATCTCAGCTTGCAGAGCTTGGATTCGTTGAATGAGTTTACCAAAAATGTAAATACTGTAGAACATACAGCCATGCTACATAACTAAGTTCCATTTCATGCTGAATAAACTAAATTATTAATGTATCTTAAATAGAAAACTATATTTAGATAGATTTTTACTCCAAAGCATTTGATTAAAATAAATTTGATTAAAAAAATCCGATTTAAATAAAAAAATCTGATTGTTTTTATTATTTTAAAAAATCATCAATTATTATCCACCCTGGTTACCTTACAAGTAACTCCTGATTTCTTACAGTTTTCTTCCCATCAAATTTCACCACTGAGGACACTTAAGACCTTACCCTTGACCTTGCTAATTTGTTAAAATATGTGATCCATATTTGCATGGAAAAGAACTAAGAAGCCAAAGAATTTGTTCTTGGCTTCTAAAAAAAAGCAATGTCAGGAGTTTCAATTCACCTTTGGATAAGATAGATTTCAACTTCTAATTATTGGAATGAGCCAGCTAGGAGTAAACAATTTCACAGTTCACTTGTGGTAAATGAGAATTCCTGCAGCATTATTCCATACAAACACAGATAGAAGTAACACCATAAACAATGGCTATCAGTGCAATCTCAGTTCCAGTGATATTCAGTCTTATCTATACGGAAGAATAGCTGCTTTCTATGCAAACCTGCATTTTCAATGGCATCTGAGATATTTCCCCTTTCATTTGATCAAATTTCAAATATTCAAGACTGAACCTTTCAACATTCATCCAACACACAGACCAGAGTTACAATGGAAGACTTTGCCTCCAAGGCCCAATCCAATTACATAGTCCATAAGCCCAATCCAATTACATAGTCCCTAAAATACCAAGATTAGTATTAAGTTACTGAGAGATTCAAATATAGCAAAATTGCAGTTTCAATATAATAATTAAAAGTTTAATTGAAATGGATTCTGATAATGAGAATCATCTAGATGCATTTGGAGTTGTAGAGCCATCATTTCCCCAGTTATCTTTTCCAGAAAATGAATGTTTTAGACTACCTTATGATTGCACAGAACTCTTGGATCTTACAAAATATCTTTAATGCAATCTTAAAGGAGGCACTGAAAATTATTGGACCAGTACTTCTTTTATAACATTAATAACTTTGCTCTACAAACTGAAAATAATTCATAATTGCAAGATCGGTGATTGCTGAAATTAGATCAGTATGTCATTCAACCTTAGATGGAGCTGACTGAATTTATCCATGATTAACAAATACACAAAGAAATATAGTCATGACTATTTAGGAATTTAAATGGACTCTATTCCTAGGTCAGTTTGATCTGTGTCAAGGATTCCTCCATTTCTGATTTCCAAGCACCAGGGTTAAGTCCTTTTAATCAGTTTCTCATATCTTCACCCATTTGTAACAGCCACCAACTTGAGACTAATCTGTCCATTATAAATACCAAAGAAAGCTATGTCACATTCACACTGCAGTATCATCTCCACATGAATAACTAAATCCAGTATGGCTACATGCATGGGGGGGGTGGTGTCAGATGCTAGCTAGGATATAGATATCATGAAAGACATAAAATCTTAAGATGCTTCTGATTGGGCAGAGTGGACACTGAAATTGACTGACAAGGAGCCTAGGGCAAACCAACATCAGATCCAAGATCAGGCTAGGTACTCAAGAAGGGATTAAGTTTGAGTATATATGGTACATAACAATATTCCTACACAATCCCAGCCACCCAAATGCAGCACCAAGGAGTTAAAACTGTCAGACTATTAGATGCTGCAACTGATAAATGACCTAGAAGTCCAAAGATCATGACCACTTCATCTCTACACCCTCCAATCCTACCCCTTTGAGAAAACTGTTGGGAAAAAAATAGACTGCCTGGTCTCCTTTATTTACAGGTAGTCCTCGACTTACAACAATTTCTTTATTGATTGTTTGAAGATACAATGGCACTGAAAATGTGAATTTATGACCATTTTTCACATTTACGACCACTGCAGCATCCCCATGGTCAAAATTTGGATACTTGGCAACTGGCATGATTTATGATGGTTGCACTGTCCTGGGATCATATGATCACCTTTTGTGATCATCTGACAAGCAAAGTCAATGGGGAAGCCAGATTCACTTATAACAATGTGTTACTACCTTAACAACTGTCTTGTTTAGCAATAAAAATTTTGTGCTCAAATTGGTCTTAAGTCAAGGACTACCTGCAGTCTTAAATCCTAGACAATAGATATTGCACCAAGTTATCACTGAGGAAAGGATTTAAACAAGATGGTAAGGAGTTCCAGGGACCACATCAAGTACTTCAGTTAACTATATAATTTAGCTATATAACTATATACAATATATAAGTAGCCCAACTATTTTCCATTGGAACAGAACAATACTATTAGAACAGTGCTATACATATTTTGTAAAACTGTAACAGAAAACTATTTTAACATATTTTTTTCTGAATTTAGTTGTAGAATACATCCACTGATGGATGCTTTCTTTTGTTATATAATGAAAATATTTTTCTTTGCATATTCAAACATAATTATAAATCATACTATTTTTATTTTATTATAACAATACAAATTAAATACAAAAGGTCTTCAATGACTTTATTGTATAACACATTTGAAATTCACACAACAATGCTAAGATTAGTTGGTTTTAATCTTGGTTAATTTTTGTGTGGCTTAGTGTGTCATGAACTCAATAACATGGTCATTCTAAGTTAGGATCAATCCTCAAAGAAACCTCAACTATTCTGTATTAGTTATGGGTTCCTGATCTTAAGGCAATCACTTCACTTGTACAACCTAGTTTGGTCCTACAGAATGGCTTCTCTAGACAGCTTCTTGAGTTTTTGTTTTTGTTTTTTAAAAAATTTACCCCTCACTTTTCTCTAGGATCAAAAGTAGTAACACAGATATAGGAATGGAATGGAATGGAGGCGTTGACTGTCACTTTCTCCATGGTGACTCAGTTCAGTTAAAACTGCTGACCAGCAATGGAACAACATAATAAAATACAAGTACTAAAATGCTAAAAGTTAAATACTTAAAGCTACATCACTAAATTATAAAATTATTTTGCACATAAGATTTTAAATGATAAGTACAAGGAATGCTTTTCATTTTTTATTATTGCAGTGCATGGTGATATTAACCTTGCTTAGATCACTATGGACCCTTAGTTTACTTTTTAAAAATACATGTATATGTTTATGTATATCTATTTCTATCAGGCAAGTTTAAGACGGCTTTCAACCTTCAGAATATAATATTTGTTGCTTAAGGTAGCAACAGAAACTTTCTCTACCTAATGGTAGAACTCATCCTACCTAAACCAAGTTAGTTATAGAATTGTTATGAATTCTAGTACAGCAAGGTTGATTTAGAACTCAATTCAATTTACAACACACACTCTCCCAAATTTGATCAATTATGATCCTAAGGTTGTGTTCTCTCTTCTATATCTAAAAATCCAGATATAGAGCAGAGATTCTACTTGGTGGTCATCTCTGAAGACTATGACTTGAACAAGGTATCAGGGGAAACCATGTTCCCATCCAGTTCATTGTTAACTATCACAACTACTTCAATGTTTTAACTGTTTTGGTTATTTTTTAATTTGTTATTACATTTCATACTTTATGCTCCCCCCCCCCATTGATTTGCTGAGATAGGCCACTATGGAAATCAAAGAAATAAGTATATAAAATGTCTTACGATCAAAAAAGAAAATTACTTGCAAGTACCAAAAACTGTAATAATTTGTTATAATTAGCAATCCTGCCATTTGGATTTACAGTTACTCGGCAAGCCTTTCATTTAAACAAAATGCTCATACCAGAGGTGTGTATGCATTAGAAGGACACAATGTCCCTGATAATAAGATCACTTTATTGACCCATCTTGGGATTCAGAAGCAGAGGTCACAGTTGGCTTTTAGGTGGCTATTGTTGTTAGTTTTTGATTCTAGGTAGGAAGTGCAGTAGAAGGAAGTCAGCAATATAAATATAGACATTAGTGTTCCTATACACATGATTTATAGTAAAAATGTAAATACAAACTTAAGCGCAAGCATACTATGTAAGCAAAATTTACTGAATAAAATTTTAACAAGATAAAAACAATACAAATATTAGAAAAGAAACAAAGAGAATAAGAAAGAATAGTGAATTAGAAAGAAAACAGAATACAAATAGAAAAAGAAAAAGACCAAGAGAAAGGACTATAAGGAAGCAGCTTCTGAGCTTTTTAACAACTGTTATAAATGCACTTGTATTTTACCCTCTCTGAATGAATAGTATAATTATAGCATAATTTTCTTCTTTTTATAAGTAACTAATTCACTAACCCACAAATCGCAAATTAATTTTTCTAATTTTTCAGCAAAAAGTCCACAAACAGGCTTCCAGTAGCTGGAATGTAGCTGTCAGTCTTTCTCTAACCAAATTAATTTAGCCATCTCTGCAAATTCTATCAACTTTGTTTTCCTTTTTCTTCTCTTATTTTTATTAAGAAAACTCCTATTTTCTTTTTTTACTATTTGCTATTTTCCTTTATTGTTTTTATTTTTTATTATGGTTTTTACTTTGTTAAAAATTTCTTCAATAAAAGTGTAAAAGAAAGAAACCATTTAAGTGTCCGTCAACTAAAGTTGGCACTCTTGATTTCAGCCTAACCAGAAGCTGATTGACTTTAATTTAAATTAAATTTTTAAAAAAAGTTCAAGGTTTCTCGACAGCTACACTTTTCTGTTTTCCTGCAATATGGGTTTCTTGTAGGAGTGTCCAAGTAGATTAAACAACAAGGCAATCAGAGGAACATCCTTTTTAATGTGCATTACATTTATCACACATGTAAAAACAACAGGGTTTTGATGATCACCTGTTTGCACCTACCATTTTTACATCATTTTTACCTCCCCTGCAGATGTACCTCTGGTTAGTTGCTGTTACAAACTTGGTAAAAGAATGAAAGTTTGCACATTCTGTACAAGGATTTTTTGTAACAGAGAACTGAATTCTGGCCTGGAAAATAAATTATGGATGTATTTCCTAATAAATAAGGATGTATTTCCTTACTTAAAACAGCTTGAGAAAGGTATCAGTGTGAAACTTAAAGCCATATAAGATCTGTCTCAGCCTACACTTGGAACATTATACTTCATACTACATTAGCTGTGATGGATTAGGAGTGTTGTGTGTGCCTTCAAACTTGTCTTACTATTGATTCCATTTTCTTTCTCCTCTTCCCTATTCATAAATAACTATTGATATTTCAACAAACTACTATCCATATCAATCTTCTGACTCTTTGCAAACAGCGTTCCAATAAATACTAAGGCAACAGCAATCCTAATCTAGGTCCCGGCAATTTTTGTCCAAGCCAGATGACAGCAATACTTTTATCACTAGACAACCAGCTATTTCTCACTGGGATTACCAACCATCTAATTATGCAACAACACACTCCAGATGATGAACAGAGATGGAATAACACTTGTCAATTTGTTCTCTGTATCTTTTATTCTTAGATGCTTTAGTGGAATATTAGACATGACTATGGAAAATAACTCCATCATCCATTATAACTAGCCTTAATAATTATATGATATCCAAAACATTGAACAACTCTTAAGTCATTATTTTGCAACTGAAGATGCTGGCATCAATAAGTGAAGATCAATATCCAGTTGGTCATTATGAGAAGCAGAATGCAGACTAGATTAAGTTTGGTAAAATCCAAGTAAGTTCCCTTTTTCTTATATTAAGACACTTCTCATGCAGCTTTCTGAAGACAGATATCAACATACATGTTGATATGAAATTCATGTAACTCAGTGGAATCTAACTTTTGCAATATTGAGAAAACTGGCCAAAGTTCTGGGATGATGCTACTGTCTCCAAGAAATGGCTGCTTAAAATATCTGAAAAATATTAAGTACTCTTCTTTTATTGAAGATAATATGCTACATTCCATATATTTACTAAACTTCATAATTTTTCATTTTTCTTGCAACACTGGAAACTATCTTGATAAAAGATGTATTTTTTGTTATCCACCCACGAAGTGCACATCACACCCAGGTCTTTCAACCAATTTCCCAATCACCAGGTTCTTTCAACCAATGATTACCAACACTCACGTGGTAGTTTGTTGACACGCCAAGGAACAGAGTTTGTAACAAAGCCATGCTTGGAAGCCATGACAAGGACCCAGGTGCCCAAGCGATAACTGATGGGGAGCATACTGATACCCTCATGGTCAGTGGTGCCTGAAGCTAAAGATGTTTGGTTGCCATAAACTTCCACAGCTGCCTGGGAAAGTGGGGATAAATCTCCATTTTCATAGACTTGAACTTTGATCACCACTTCTGGAGAAAAGAGAGAGAGAGAGCATAGAAAAATATATGTTAGGATACAAACCTTCTTCCCACTATTCCATGATTTGAATATTTATGCATTTTTATTACTCTTTCTAATCATCTTTGGTAATTGTATTACCAAATCCAATTGTGTTAGAGATATAGCAAATATGTGATGAATATGGAACAATCCACTTCCATTCCACCTCTACAGCCTCTATATTCTACTTCCTTTCTACCTACATCTGGGGTTTTTTTTAAGTTCCTTCCTATTTGGTTACTCAATAGCAATACCAGTATAATACAGTATTCTCTAATGTTTGACAACAATACTTCTCCTATTGTTTCTGGGACAAAATAGGATATATTTTCTTAGACAATACAATCTCTCAGTTCCTTCATTGAAACTGCTTTTCTTTCAGCATTTTGTGGCTGACATTTGCACATTTTAATTCTTTTGGAACACCACAAGAAGTTAGGTTTTAATTTATATATTGTCAGTCTCATAAACAAGCAATTTATAGTTAGAATAGACTTCCTTCTGATTCCAATTCTGAGTACCATTTTTAGAGCACCCCAATTAAAAAAAAAGTTTAAATTTAGTAAATAAATTCCTCTGCAACCTCAAGAGGGGGAAGAGTGATCACAAACTAAAAAAGGATACTCAAGCCCAAACCAGTGGTTTTTCAAAGTCTATTCACTTTCCATGCCCTTAACATAATCATGAACTCATGTAAAGGAAAATTACTTCAGACACAAAACAACCAAAACAAACAAACACCTGAAGCAGAGCTAGTAAGAAGACATAAAAATTGAAAATAAAGTACTCAATTGTTCTATCTGTTTCCCAGTATGTATTTTGTCCCATTGAATCTCTTGTCACTTTCTATACATCAAGCAGGGCTGGTTTACATCAACCCATTTCATTCTATAATTGAAATATGATGATTAGTCACTTGTAGCAAAAATCACTTTGCTGGTTGGCTGCCTCAAATATTCTTCCCATTCTATGTGCAAATGGAAAGATCTTTCAATACAGATATGGATTCAACTCCAATTGGCTCTGGATTTCAGTTCTCTGGGGACAAGACCCCAGCTCAAAAGAAGTCACTGGATCAAGGGGGATCTGAGACAATAATTGCTATACAATCAGATATAATTAGCCTCCAGAATCTTTTCCTCAAGCAGTCTTGTAAGAAATGTAGATAGCTTCAGAGTACAAGAAGCATGTGTGCTTTTCCAGTGTCACATATCTAACATGTACACATCTTCCCTAATATGACAATTTTAGAGGTTCTGAAGTACAAATCTCATTATCTCCCAATCAGACTAGACCCAAAATGTCTGAGCTAGATCCAGATAAAAACTGCAATTCTGTAACACTTAACAATACACACAGAAACACACAAACAGCAATTTAATGTCATTACTGAACAATGCTGATTAAAAAAAAATCCAGATGGTTTCAATAATGGATAATAAATTAGTTTTCTTTCAGATGTTGCTGAACTACAATTCCTGGTAGCTTTCTCAAACTAATCAATTTTGAGAGATGGAAGGGGCGTTGTCTTGCCTGAACGCCTTTTCTCAGCATGACGATGGAGAATCCACCAATGGGTTAGCTTCGTCCTCTGCCCGTAGAGACAGTCAGCCAAGTTGCCACACCCCTCTCCCTGGACCAGGAACCCAGTAATGACTGAGGCACAGCTGTTGGCTATGATTTAATGTGTTGGCTCAATTACCCCTGACACAGGACTTGACAGGCCCTAAGGGTGGGAGTGGATTCTCCATCGTCATGCTGAGAAAAGGCATTCAGGTAAGACAACGCCCCTTCTCCAGCATGATGAGTGGAGAATCCACCAATGGGACGTACCAAAGCCTCACTGTCCCTGTGGGTGGGAAGCAGGCTGGGCCTGTGTCCCACTCTCTGATAGTACGCATTGGAGGACTCTTCTGCCAAATGAGGCCTCCGCAGATGCGAATCTATCTATCTTATAATGCCTCACAAAGGGGGAAGGCGACGCCCACGTCGCTGCCCTACATATTTCTTCAATTGACGCCTGTGTCGCCCACGCTGCTGAAGTTGCTACGCTGCGAGTGGAATGGGCGGTGATTCGATTTGGAACAGGAAGCGATTGCATCTGGTACGCTCCTGTTATGCAAGTCCTGATTCATCTGCCAATCGTGGACGCCGTGAACTTCCATCCCTTTGAGTGAGGCTGAAAGGACACGAAGAGGGCCTCAGACTTGCAAAAGGGTGACGTTCACTTGATATAATGGCTTAATGCTCTGCAAACGTCCAGTGTGTGCCATTTGTGTTCTAAGTCATGAGAAGGCTGAGGACAAAAGTCTGGCAGTACCACCTCCTGCGTTCTGTGAAACAAGGAATTGATCTTGGGAAGGAAAGAGGGATCCAGACGTAAAACTACCCTATCAGTGTGGAAAATGCAAAGGTCTTCCCTAACTGATAAGGCTGCTAACTCTGAGATGCGCCTAGCTGATATGACAGCCACTAGGAATGCGACCTTAAGTGTCAGGCACCATATGGTGCAGGTCTGGATAGGCTCGAATGGAGGTAAGGTAAGGGCCTGTAAGACCCTGGACAGATCCCAGGAGGGATATATGTAAATCACGGGTGGTCTGTTGTTGGTTGCACCCTTGATGAAGGAGCGCACCATGGGGTGTTTGGCTAGTGGCTCAGAGTCACCATATGTGAGGACCGTGGACAGAGTGGCCACCTGTCTGTGGATTGTGTTTGGCGCTAGGCCCTTCTTAAGACCCTCCCACAAATAGCCTAAAGGGGTCTAGCTGCTGTTTTGTACACCAGCTACAATAATTTCTCCGTGTGGAATCATAAATTCTGTTAGTTGCAGGCCTTCTTGAGGCCTGAATCATGGTAATCACGTCTGGTGAATAGGATTCCTGTGTTAAGAGTCGCCATTCAAGTGCCAGACGGTTAACTGGAGCCACTGTGGCTCTGGGTGTTGCAGGACTCCCGAGGGAGATTCGGTCGTGTGGTATCTTCCACAGGGGGGAGACCGAAAGACTCACGAGGTCGGCAAACCACGGCCGTCTTGGCCAGTGTGGAGCAATAAGCATCACCTCTGCCTGTTCCTGCAGTATCTTCTGGATGGTAGCTTGCATCAGAAGGAGAGGGGGGAATGCATAGAGCAGTCCCGTGGGCCATGGCCCCCAGAGTACATCGGCCCTCTCCACCACTGGTGATGGGAAGCGGGAGAAGAACCTCGGAAGCTGGGCATTCGTCGGGCTGGCGAATAAGTCCAGTACCGGCTGAACGAACCTCTCTGATGCCTCTCTGAAGAGGTCTGGGTGCAAGCTCCACTCTGAGTGGTCTACTGTTGACCTGCTCAGGAAGTTCGCCTGCTGGTTCATCTCTCCCGAGATGTGTTCGGCCCTGAGGGAGGAGAGATTGGTCTTTGCCCAGGTTCCCAGTGACAGGGCCTCGGTCATGAGGGATCTGGAGCGGGTACCCCCCTGCTGGTTGACGTGGGCTTTTGCCGCCACATTGTCTGTGAGAACCAGAACGTGCTGTTTTGCCACTGATCTGTGAAAAGGGCATAGGGCCAGGTGTATGGCTCTGAGCTCCAACCAGTTTATGTTGTGCCTTAGATCTGATGGAAACCACCGGCCCTGCGCCAGCTGTGATTGTAGGTGGGCTCCCCAGCCAAATAAGCTGGCATCCAAGGTCAGGATGACCCAGGTGGGTTCTTTGAACAGGGATCCTTTTCCCACCGCTGGGGAAACCCACCTTGGAGGGATTTCAGGATCTGTGGTGGAACCCTTACTTTTTGGCTGGAAGAGCTGGTTCCTACTTTCTGGAACGGGAGTAGGAACCATTGTAGGTCCCTGGAGTGTAGCCGTGCCCAGGGCACAATTGCTATGCATGAAATCATCTTTCCCAACAGGTGGGAGAGTGTGGCCAGTGTGGCGACGCGTCTTCTTCGAATCTAAGTGACCAGGGCTCGAATGCTGCTTCGACGTTCTCGAGATAAGTAGACCTCGCACTTCCTTGGATATAGCACCACTCCCAGGTGAAGAAGGCGGGTCGAAGGAACTTTGACTCTTTTGGAAGTTTACTGAGAACCCGTGGTCTTGGAGAGTCCTTAGGGTTAATGTCAACTCTGATTGTGCTGCCTGAACAGAGGAGGATTGGATGAGAATGTCATCCAGATAGCACTGGATACGCACCGGGATGGTCCGCAAGTGAGCAGCGAGCGTCGCCAGTACCTTTGTGAACACCCTGGGGGCCGATGAGAGGCCAAAGGGTAGAGCCCTATATTGAAGGTGTTGACCTGCATAATAGAACCTGAGGAATTTCCGATGATCGGGAAGTATGGGGATGTGTAGAGAGGCCTTCGTCAGATCGATGGATGTTAGGAGGTCTCCCCTTCTGATGCCGGCCAATATAGATTGGAGCGTCTGCATTTTGAATTTTCTGTATGCCAAATGATTGTTTAATCTTTTTAGATCTAGGATTGCTCTCCATCCCCCTGAGGTTTTTGGGACGATGAACAGAATGGATAAGAATCCCCGTCCCTCCTGTCCCGCTGGTACCGGCTCTCTGGCCCGGATTTCCAGGAGGTGATGAATAGCCTCCTTGATGAGGCCTCTTTTGACCGGGTCCTTGGGTGATGGGCAAGGTATGAAGTGTCTCGGAGATCTGGAGGTGAATTCCAGAGAAAGGCCGAATCTGATGGTGTTTAGGACCCAAAGGTCTGTGGTGGTGGCTTGCCATCTGTGTGCAAAAAGGGCCAGCCTGCCACCAATGGAGGTCTCCCCGCTGTCACTTGGACTTACGGAAGGGGAGGCCCCCCGCTCCTTGAAAAGGCCGCTTCGACGGGAACTGCTGTCTGTATCTGTCCCTGTTGCCAGATCTATCGACCTGATGGTCTGATCTGGGCTGAAAGGAGCAGGAAAATGAAGGAAGCTCCGACCCTGCTTTGGGTCGAAAGGGCTGTCTGTGGGCATAGGTAAGAGTTCTCCTATCG